ATTTAACTAAAATTTTGATTTATGATAACAAACCCAAGCTACAAGAATCAACCAAATTTAACACAAACTTGGTTTATTCTTTATTTATATAAATAATAATTTTATTTTTCAGTAACTAACTGTTGCATTACTTTAGTCTGTATAATTATTATACATATACTATCTATTTTATATTCTATAGAATATTAAAATAATATAAGTATAGGGGTGTGATGACTTAGTGAAGTGGTGAAGTTATCATATCACCAAGTGGTAGAGTATAAGTTCAATTCCCACAAAAGGTAAAAAAATTAGATTTTAGAAAAATGGATTCAGCAACTATTGTCATAGCTAGAAAACTCGAGACCTTATAATTGTGATCATACCAAGATAAAAATTGGAAGGTTTTGGAGCATTTGTGTAATGCAAGCCAGTTTAGTCGATACAAACCCAAGATAAATCTTTTAGAATTGCAGAAAGCCACAGCACCAATATGGCAATGAGACACTTGCTTGAGAAGTCCTAAATAGAGACATAGTACTGATTTTCAACGATATTACATGTGGATTAATACCTGAAGAACCGGATAAACTGAACAGGGCCGAAATGTTTAGCAAGGCATTTTATCAACCAGGCTACCAGAGGAGTAATCAGAGGAAAAGGACCCAATCATAGGGACTAGAAGCAGGTCATAGCCCTTTTAGGCCATCCGAATTGATAGTTTGGAATAGCTGAGAAACTAAAAAAAGTCTGTAGGTGTACTGGGGTTTAGGTAAACTTTATAAGAACAGTAGTAGGTAACTGTAGTGGCCTTAGTTCGCAAATACTTGTCCTCAAACTCAGCGTAAGTTACTGAAAAAGACTAAACAATATGGGAATAGTGGGTACCAGACTGCTCTAGTAGATGATGTACTCGAAGATGAATTGGTTAACTATGCTGGTAGTTTTATAGGTAGATACAATGATCTTAGAACTTGAACTAACTTATGTATCGCATGTTTTGGGTAAGGTTAGACAGATTGATATAGAAAACTCAAATCAGAGGCTTTAATTGAGTAATTCAAATAATAGTAGGTTACAGATATAGCATTTAGTATAGTATCTAGCATATAGGTAGAATACTTAATTAGGCACCCAAAAGGTGCAGATGTGGCTAGAATATATCTTCGTCAGAATATACTTGTCTGGGGCTCCTTTGAAAAGGGCATCACATAATCTTAATATCTAATAAAAGTGATAAACTGAAGAGGCTAACCTTGACTACAAAAAAAATAATAATAATAATATAAGTATTAAGATTTATTAAAAGAAATAATTTAACTTAAGGGTAGAGGGTATGATTTGTAAATTATATATATATATATATTTTTTTTTTATAAGGTGTCCTTCGAAACCAAGCTTTATTGATATTTTATCATTGATCATATGGATCTACATTTTTTAGTATTACAGATGTATATATCCACCAATTATTCTAAGCTAGGTACCTTTATACCGAAGTGCTCCCTACTTATCTTACCTAGGCTTGGTTATCCGGTTGGTTGCCTATGAGTCCCCACAAGTAGACGAAGTAGATGCCTCCCAATCTTTCTATATCCTATACATTTTCAGACTAGGATTTTTCAGTAACTTACACCAAGTCTAAGAACAAGTATTTGCGAGTCGAGACCGCTACAGTTACCTACTACAGCCCTTGTAGAGTTCACCCAAATCCTAGTATCTACTTTACAGACTCCCTTCCATATTTTCAGAAACCCAAACTCTCAATCCGATAGCTCGAAAGGGCCGGAACCCTTCCTCTGTTTTTCCTCGTCAGCCTGGTTAGTATTAGTGCTTTGCCAAATATCTTGATCCTATCCAGTTTTCTAATATCTGATTGATCATCCTTTACATAGTAACCGTCAAAGATCTGTGCTACCTCTCTACTCGAGTCTTGCCAAGCAGGCTTCTGTACCCTGTAAATTCACTGGATTTATTCAGTAGTTTTACTCAGATTTCATGTAATTCGTACATCACACTACATATTCTACTACCTCCCAGTATAAGCTGGTGCGATCCTTATTACAGGTTCTATAATCCAATAGGATACAGTCTTTCAAATGCATTTTCTGTAAATTCAAATTTTCGTCACCGGTGGGATTCGAACTCCAGTCCTGCTGCTTGGGGTGTGACAACTTGCCAACTTTACTAAGTTATCACATTCTTTGTAAATTATATATAAAATCAGTAGTATTTTGTTTTATTTTTTTAAATTAAACAAAAATTTATTAAAAAAATTGATTTTATATTTTTAAATAAAATTGTAAAGTAGGTTTTTCTGATTCTAACAATAACAAAATTATTAAATTAGGATTAAAACTCAGTGAAATATAATTATTTTAAAGTTTAAATAGTGTTAATTGTTTACGAAGATTATATGATATCAGCCAATCAGAATCAGGCATTTTGTACTACCTAGAAAATTTTGAAATGTCCCAGAAAAACTTTATAATATATGCAAGTATGTTTTTTTAAATTAATATCACTCCTAAAAGTTTGACTATTTATAAATAGAGGTTTGTATCTACAAGCCACAAAATTTTGGTAAAAATTAATTGTGGCTTTAAAAAATTTTATCAGTGACACATTTTTGTTACCTATATAAAGTTTTGATCTACCATGCAGGTCATATGAAAATAATCAACATTACCCTCTACCCTTAAACTCTATTGATTCCATTCACAGCTCCATTAGACTTTATTGAACTCCATTGCCAACTCTGCCTTTGGATATTTATTTAAATAGGTAACCAAAAGTTGCATATGTGGCTAAATGTACTTTCGTTAACCAAGAATATAATACTAAATATCTAATAAAAATTTGCCTGTTCATAATATTGTGAAGGTAAAAAAAAAATAAAAATAAAAAATTTAATCATAATATCAAAAGCATTAATATATGTTTATTAAATAAGAAAACAAATAGTAATTGGTGTAAATTTTGTATTAAGAATTTTTATAAACTAGTTATAGACTTAAATTAAAAATTTTCTAACCGTACAAAAAAAAAATAATCTGTAACATTCAAATTTAGAGGTTGTCTAAAGTGGATTTTCTTCAGATCCATCAACAAAATTTTTACTATTATGTGATATTTGATAAAATGTTTTAAGTTCATTTATGCTAAGTTTAGAGTCTATTTAGTGTTATAATTGTAGATTTTAATAGTAAAATTGTTCAAAAAAAACTTCTTGTTAATGAGCAGAAGGTGGTTTCCTATGCAGATTTTGAGTTATAAGCGATTTTTGACAAAACAAACATTTGGTTTGAATATTTCTGATCGTGTAATATTACACCAAATTGAACTTCATTATTGGCTTCGTGACAGTAAAAATTAATTAGTAATTTTGTTGGTGATCCTGGAGTAGTTCTAAAGCAGAGATGAATCACGTGACTATAAGCCAATCAAATTATAGAATTTTGATGATCGCCGGCGAAGCAATACAAGAAATACAAAAAACGGCAGTCAAAACCTGCCTTGGGTAGGTTAAGCAAAAATGTCGGGAAGGCAATTTTATATATATATATCTACTTAAAACCTAACCTAACCCCTAATCTAAGATGACCCTAACCCTAAAGTTAATTCATCTCCGCTTTAGACGTCCCCCAAATTTGGTAATATCCAAAAATCACTTTTTATCAGTATCGAATTTGGATATTTGGACATAAAATTTTATGTCCATATGTCCATGCCCACACGAAATTTTTATTGGACAGTCCAAATGCCAACACTAATTTTTGTTATAAATCAAAATAAATCATAAGAAAATAAAATTTTCATTAATGCAACTACTTTTGTGTCTTAAGTGAAAAATGATACTAATCTTATTTTAGATTGATTTATGTAAAAAAATCTCGAAAATTTGTCATTTTCTCAGCACCTAGCCCATATTTTCTTTTTTTATAATATCTTAACTATTTGTAGATTTTTCGGGGTCCTGTGCTGCACTATGATAGCAAATTGCAGTATTTGATATGTAACGCCTCAAATGCATTATACGTATTAAATTCGTTAATAATAGTTGACCAGCGAAAATGTCCGTTATACGTAATATGGCATTCTTATTGTTGATTTCGTTATAACCGTTGAAAATTCGGTAGTTCAAATTTGGATCGTCAAACCATGTAATCCGGTATAATGGTGTCCGCTATACGTATCGATTGACTGATTTCTGCAAATTCTATATATGTATATATAATTTCAAACCAGACAAGAACCAAGTTTCTATATATAGCGACAGTAAAGCATTCACATGAGATCCAGAATTTAACGTTTAGATGTTGCAAATAAACGTACGTAGAATTTTTAATTTCCGGTAAAGGAAATTAATGATATTAATTATTAATTAAATTACTATATAATTACTTTATGCCAATGCTGTGTTCGTCTCTTTGTGGGCACTATTTATTTGGATTTCGAAGAAATAAATAGTTCCGATGAAAATGAAACGTGGGAAATCGTCGTCATTATACAATGCGTATCCAGTTGTAACGCAAACTGGTCATACGTTTAACACTTTATCAAAGTAATACAAAGTAAATTATCATTTATTCAACAAATTCTAAAAAAAAAAATAAAAATAAAAATTTTAAGTGTAAGTAAAATGATGAATTCATGCTTAGTTCACGAAAACGAAACAAAGACATGAGGAGCTAAATATAGTTTGGAGATAACTGAAGATGACCCAATGATATTCGCATCTATATACTTAAACGCAAGCAACAATTGCATTGTTACCGAATCCTGAATCCTGTTATTGCATGCAGATCGGAGGTTTGTAATCATGAATCGAATTAGGAAATTTTTTTTAATATCAACATATGTTGATTGGTTATATTGACTATAAAAAAAAATATCGGCCTATTAGACTGGTCAAACATTGATCAATATATTAATTCGCCGTGAGGTGTGAGTCTGGTCACTCTTTCGCTTTTCTTTGTTTTCTAGTCTGACAAAAGGTTTCTTCCGCTCGACCATCTATCATGCAACAGCGAGATGGCTTAGCTATTATATTTTTCCCAACATCTCCATCGAGGAAATTACTTCAATTTCATACTTGGATAACAGAGTATGAGTTAAAATATCATCACTCACTCACAGAAAACATTTCTACAACATCTATTGCATCAATTTCACCTCCTCAGAAAACTCAGGAGGAAAGAATACTGGGTAAAGATGGTTTTAGTAAGATTCCTCATGAGCTTATGATGATTATTATGGATAATTTGGAAGCTACCGACATTCTTTCTTTATCTATGGTGTGTTTGATTAGCCTCATTATTGTTCATTTGTTTGATTCAATTCTAATTGTTTGCCGAATACTAGGTGAATAAAAAGCTTAGGGCTCATACTCAAGATAATTATCTATGGCGTCAAATTCTCTTACGAAATTATGGAGAGTCCGCTATAAAGGATGAGCCAAAGCACACATATCGCAAATTAATGTGGAAAAGGACAAAACGTAGTAAGCAACCACAAGTAGAGCCCAATTGGCAGAAGGTCTTCATGAGATTGTGTAAGTTTATATATATATATATATATTTATATTTTATTGTGTGCTATATTTAATTGATTCAACAAAATCTTACAAATATTACTGAATAGCAACTGTTAAGGTTTCAACGAAAACTGCAATTTCGCGAGGCAAACCTGGCGCTTATTATCGATATAGATATTTCGATCACAAAGCGAACGATTTTAGGTATGTACCTCGCATATCTACATATTTTTATTAGTCATATACATAATTATTTTTAATTATTATTTGTTTCTAATTTTAGTCGTTACGGTAATAGAATAAGACAGAGACAGCGTTCGTATGAGGTTCGTTTATTTTGTAACGTCTATCACTTTTCATTTGTAGTAGATAATTTAATTGGTTATTTTGCTTTTTCAGATTGAAATGACTATAAGTAATGTTCCACCTGGTGTCTACGACATCATATGGCGAATGAGGATTGACAAGTTCTCGTGTAGACCAATCTTGACTTTTTCTACAGATATTTGGTTGCGTGTATGTATTCTTTGAGTACTATTAGTCACACTGCAAGTAATCAACGGTCCCATGATCACGATCACAATGTTGTTCTGGATGTTAATTTAAGTGTTTACTTAAAACGTTAAAAAGTTTATTAATACTTTACTATAAGAATTCAAGTGCTAGGCATATTACTATTAAAATATTGTACACATGCCCCCGTGCCTGGCACTATGTGTTTTAATAGTGCCCTTGCCTGCACTTGCAGATCTATAATTAGAATGTACCCTGAAAAATTTTATCTAATGGTCAAGGAACGGTAAAATTTTGGGTATAATTTACAGAGTTTGAAAATCACATAATCAAGTTTTCGTCATCCCATTAATGATTGAAAGATAGACAAATTTATGAATTATTCCAATTTTTACTTCTTTAATTGTACGTTACGAGATCCTACAATATGATCGGGCAGTAATCACGGGACTACGAACTTTTGGCCATGACTATGTTATTCATCTTTATCTTAGATTTTTCAAATTCATTTATATTCATTTATATTCATTTATATTCATTTATATTCATTTATTTATTTATTTATTTCTCCATTCATTTAGCATGACATATATCTAAATTCTTATGAAAGAGAATCAAAGTTCAAATTTTCCCCTGACCCGGACAGACTCCAGGAAGTATTTGACAAGGGATGGTTTCATTTTCGGTTACCTTACAAGATTGTAATTGCTAAGAAGGATCAATTCGATGATAGAAGATACCAAGTTCACACTGGCATTTCTTGTTGTGCCGAAGATTTACCAAAATGCAGATCTCTTAAAGGACCTTTCGTATGTATCTCGTCATTTTCGATGAATTAAAGTTTTTATATTATTTGCTATTAATAATCTTGTCTATCAACAATTATAGTCCGTGGATTATGTATGTTTACGTCCCCACATTGCATATGACCATGTAGAAAATCCACCTATCATTGAACATTTAGAAAATGATTATGAAAGTGTATATAGCGATAATGAATATTATGATCTACAAAATAATCCTGAAGAAAATTGTATCATTTCTTCAAAGAGGAGAAAAAAATTAATCAAACTTTTATCTTGTAGTGCTAGAGATACGATTTCTAATAGGGACAGTCGGCTTTATGTAAATGCTAACGCTATGGGCGTAAGTGGAAATCACCATCGTAACACTTTGTAGAATAGATTTTTTTTTTTTTTGTACCATACTTTTAGAAATCCTTTATTACTTGACGACTTCGGTCACTATGAAACGATAATTTGAATGTTTACGTTTTTTTTTTTTTATACATATATAGATAAATTATACCTTTTAAAATTAGCATTAAAAATTATATTAATTGTAACAGTAAAGTTAATAAATAAAAATTTATGGTTTTCTGATGTGTAATTTGAAACTTTTTCAAGTCTAATCAGTTTGTCTCAATTCTGATGAAACAGCAGGGATACGGAAAATATTAGCCAAATTTCTTGAGCATGCCTTAAATTAGAAAAACCGCAAGCATGGCTAAAACGTAAAAATCTTCCCGTGCATTCAACCTTATTATTTTTCTTATTGACGCATGTAAGGAATCTGTGTCAGGCTTTATCGACCATTCGGCTTAGATTGATCGACATCGGCCCGCATTAAGTTGATGGGAATGTTGTGATCATTAAAATTAAGTAATACGTATTGGTATAATGATTTATAAATAATTTATAAATATTATGCAGCAGTTCTATAAATAATTTACAGCTAAAGAATACAATGATGATTTATAATCATTATGCGGTTTCATAAACGGTTTCATAAGCCGATTAATAGTTGTGGCAAGAAATTGACCAATCAAATACAATCTTACAATTCAATTTACCGGAGGTCAAGCAGTATCACATAAATGATTGGATTAAATTTACAGATAACGATAACCAACAAAAAGAATTACAAATAAAAATAATTACAGAGGCCCGATATTTGAAATTTATTACAAATAAGACCAAATATACCGTCAAAAATTGCTAACCGATTTAAATGCAATGGTACCATGATTAATTGTCTCATCTCGTGATTCAATAGGTGTTTGAAAGTTATTGTTTGTTCATTATACAGAATTAAAAAAAACTAACTACATGATTGAATTTGTATACAAATTTATTACTGTATAATATTTACTACACAAGTCTAATTATTAACCAATTTTTTTTATCTAGCATTAAGTATTAAAACCAAAATATGCATGCTAAGTTTTAATTTTTTTTATATAGTAGAAGTTAGACAAGTTGGTCTATGAAAAATCAGTTTTATTATATAAACCAGCCAAGAATAACAAATTCTTTTATTTATAATTTGATATTTATTTTAATCAACTTTTACATTGAAACTTATGTTTTCGATTTGTGCATTTACAATTAGTTTGTATTTATAATGAAAACAAAAAAGTCAGTCCTCTCCTACTATTTCTACGTTTTTCCACGCTGCAATGTTATTTGAGACCCATAACCATTCTCGAACTTTTGGAACGTTCTCGTTTGAATTTGAGAGTGTTAACATTTTCAGCTCATTCTTTTGTCTTGTTTGCTCACACTATAAGTCAAAGTAAATAATTAGACTATAAAGGACTCTATCTGCTATATAAACTAAAAAAAAAAATAATATAAAAATGACTTACAACTAATATATATAGAAGCTCAAAAACTTCTAAATACATTTCTACATCATCGAATGAGAAGGAAATCCTGGCAGACTTGATCTGAGAAATTTTATAATATTTTTTATCGAGTTGGAGTTTACTCAGAGTAATGCGGTCTCCTAACATAAAAAAAATAATTGAATTTGCATTCGAATAATATTCATCTTAAATAAAATTTTTTGAATGATTATTCGGCAAATAGCATGAATATATTCGAATAAAAATAATTTATATTATTCGTCATAAACTCCGGTTATTGGTTGTTTCCAATCTATCTACGTATCAATATCTGCCAGCTTTCTATATTTGTCATTAGTAACAGAATTTTCGCGTGTCACTTGTCATGTTTATGGGAGATATAGTAATTCAAATAACGATATTTTTATTAAATTAACTTCAGGGTCAGGGTAGCTTTATGTTAGGGTTAGGATAAGGTTAGTCACTTTTTTCTTGATCAGCTTATCATGTGATTGCCTCCGCTTTAGATGGAAATTTGCGTCATATCAATAAAAAAATGATTCGTGTCAAATTTATAGGTATATCTAAGTAATCAAATGAATATGCTTTATATCTTTTTAACAAACCAATATGAATTCACGTTTATTTTATACCTTTAAAAGAAATTTTACTCCCACCGTAGCATATTATAAAGCAAAATCATTGAAATATCTCAAGCATTTACCGGATAAATTGAAAGATCCCAAGCAATTACCAGATAGTGCACGTGGTTTTTTACCGATTCATAGGGAAGCTCTAAACATACATTACAAGAATGTAAATTCAGCAAATGAAATACTTGATCCTTTTCCGGAAAACATCCAGATCAATACTGATTTATTTGTAGGTAATCTTACGAGAAAAGAACTGTTGACAGCAATAACTGGAAGTCCTATTTTGAAGAAATTAAATAATAATGAAATATCACTTGCAATATATCTTAACGATGTAATTTTAAATGAGAAACAATCCAAAGAATTTCGGGAGACATTCACGGTTTCACTCGTCAACTATCTTCTTACGGAATTAGAATTAAACAAACATCCATTTACATTGAGGTTTGCAACCAGACTTCAGTTTTAGTGTATTCGACAAAGAAGTATCTGCCAGGGCCGAATTTAGCATATTAAAGGAAAATGCGCTGATTCTTATAGATGAGGATAAACACATACGTGGTTTGAGACAACAAACAGAAAATGGAGAATCACAGATATCTGCTGAAATTCTAGCATGTGCCTTCACCAATTTTAACAACGCTATCAGTCCTACAGTGGGAAAGAGTCAAACGGTCTATGCAATGAGAGTTATTGGAACGAGGTTTACACTTTACAAAGCATTTCTGAGTAGGGACTATTTAAGATCCCTATACCAGGGTTTTCCTCCGCATAATTTATCTGTAACGATATCTCGTTTTCGCGGATTTGTAGATCATCCGGCTCAGCATCAGCTCAGCGTGTACCGGCACCCTGGAAAATCTGCCGACGATCTACGCCGTGCGACAAAC